TGAAATCTTTAATAATATTTAAAAATTCATAAATTCTGAATTATTTAATTCAAATTTTAAATACTGGAAGAATAAGTCCACGTAGTCCCACATGACGGGTGGGATGGGTTGGACCCGTACACTTGACGGGTAGATCAACTCAGTCTCCACCACGTGTACGGCATAGGTTACATTGGAATAAACTTAGTGTCCGGCGCAAATATCGATGTGCCAGCTCAACTACCACCTTTGCCACCGTATATACTGTGTATGTGTACACTTTGTTTTGCCTACGACACGTGTGTAATGACCTGGATGTCGCCTTGGCGCTCCTCTTTCTTCTTCTTCTTCTTCTTCTTCACCTCCCTCTCTCCTCTTCTCCTCTCTGCAAAACCAAAAAAAAAAAATCCTGAAGTTTATGAGTTAGTTTTAGAGATTTCTTGTTGTACACTCTGTTTTCTAGATTTTGTTTTCAATTATTCATCTCCAGGCGAGGAGAAGGAAGAATTTGGATTTGAGATTTGAAAGGTACGTTAAATTTGGAGTCTAGTTTTATTTCTTTCAATTTGTTTATGTGTAGGATTATTGGATTCGTTCGTCAAGTTTTTTTATGTATTTAAAGACTGTTTGGATGCCGAGAAAATGGAGGAAATTGCGAGAAACTGTTTTTAATGTTTAATTAGCTGTTTGGTTAGGGAATTTCGGCAGAGAAAATGTAGGAGAGTGTGAATGGAACTGCAAGTTACAGCAATCGAATTTTCGATTGCTTCTAACTCGTAGAGCAAGCGTTTCTAACTTACTTACAAATTTCTTAAAATGTAACGGAAATTTTAAGGAGTTAGAATTTTTTCCATGCTTTTGGTCTTCTGACCAATTTTCTGTTTGTTTCTCGGGAAACAAACAGTGCCATAGACCTGCAATTCATACAGATCTTGTGAATTTTCTGTTGGTTGCTACTAAGAACTCTGGTTTTGTGCGTCTCTGTGGGCCAAATTTCTTCATTTTCGGAATCTCATATACCTCTTAGATGTAGATGTCTTCGCCGGAGTTAAACACTGCCTTCTTGCTCTGGCAAACCTGCGACGAAAGTTATGGAGATTTGTCCAAATCTAAAGTGTTTCCTTCCAAGATAAACTGTTTTGGATTCGTTTAATCACCTGAAAAACTCATCATGTAGAGAGCTGTATCGGCTTCGTCTGGAGTTCTATGGTGTCAATTAGCTCTCAGATTGTCATAGTGTGAGTTAGATTTTGAGGTCTTCTTTTACCTGTGTTCATACTTTCTTGAGCGCAGTGTAGATGCTTAAAAGACGTTGTGACCCCTATCTGTCAAACGTTTCAATTGCAAAATGAGGAATTTGTTAGCTTTCAGAAAAAATTACATGGTTGGATGTGATCCTAGTTGCCTTTTTGAGTTGTTTCTTCTCTGCTTTGCACATTTTGTACCGAGTGAAACTTGATGTGTCTATCCTGGATTGCAGTTGGCTGAGTTTCTGAGTAAAGGAAGGTTAAAGAATACTTGCATCTCCTGATCAAAGTAAGGTTTTACAGTGGTGCTTCACCATGGGAAACAATGAAGAAGGAAAGTCTTCTAAGTCTGATAAATCATCTTCACCTGTACCGCAGGTAAGCTGTGAGTTACATATGTTTAAATGTTAAAAACTACGATGAACAATTCAGTCAATACTCTTTTTGTTGCAAGAGAAGGATAATTTTCATGTTGTTCAGTGGTTATTATGTTTGTCAATCCTCTTGTGTTTTTATTTTCAGGATCAAACCAATATTCATGTTTATCCTGATTGGGCAGCAATGCAGGTTAACTACTTTATTTATGCACTTTCTTCATTGTTTTCCTTATGTCTATCATCAAGTATCTGAGATACATTTGTCTAATTAGAAATCTTGATCTAATTCCTTATGAAATTTCTAATAGTGATTTTATTTTACCATTTGAATATTTAGGCATATTATGGCCCTCAAATGACACTGCCACCATATTACAATTCACCAGTGGCATCTGGTCACACTCCTCCCCCCTATATGTGGGGTCCACAGGTATTGCTTCAAGTCTTAAGGCAGTGTTCTTTTTAATTTTTAATTTTGCCATGATTGGTTTTTCCATAAAAGCTAAGCCGTGAATTAGTAAACATGAGTCTTGATGATAACTTGGTAATTTTTCCAGCCTATGATGCCACCATATGGAGCACCTTATGCAGCAATTTATTCACATGGTGGAGTTTATGCACATCCTGCGGTACCTTTGGTAAGTCTACATTTTAACTTTCTTATGATTAGAGTTCTTAGAAATCATAGTCTGAGAAGACCTTGTGGCCTAAGTGGCCACTTTACCTTGTTAAAGGACAATCTCATCCTAATTGAGGTGTGGGGTTTGAGTCCCACCCTCATGTTCCAAAAAAAAAGAAAAGAAAAGAAAGAAATCATAGAGTCTAACTCTGCTTTGCACCTCAAGATATTTGGTTGCTTGTACTCTTTGAAATTCTAGCTCTTGCATGATGTCTCTGGTGCATGTGTTGTTTGTGATTGTTATTTCTAGGGTGAAAGAAATATGTATTTTTTAAAGAAAAAAGAAAGCTTCACTCATTTGCAAGCTAGAATTCTGTATATATTATAAATAAAATTTACGGCTCTAATTATACCGAAATGTTCTAATGCTTCATTTTTAACTTTCTTTGCTCCTAAAATTTAGGCATCACACTCGCATGGCCAAACTTTTCCATCTTCACCTCCTGTAAGTGATGCCTTCATCCTGTAATTTCTTTTCAAATAAGTTACCTCTAATAGGTTTCATTGATGGCATGTGTAAGGAATGCATCAATGAGCAATATACTAAAATGTAAATTTGCCCATCTTTTCTTTATGGTGCATGTAACTATGTAATATGATAATGCAGGTTGCAGCACCTTTGAGCATAGAAACACCTTCAAAGTCAGGAAATTCTGACCGAGGTTTAATGAAGAAGTTGAAAGGGTTTGATGGTATTGCTATGTCAATAGGCAATGGTACAGCTAGGAATGCTGAGGATGGGGCCGAACACAAACCATCACAGAGGTTGGTGTGAAGTACAACTACTTAATTTTGCCATTTTTCTCGTCTGAAACGAATATTTTAGATCTTTTCTATTTCAGTTTGACTTTTGAGGACAACCTCATATTAGTTAGGATATTGAAACTCGTGGTATGGTCCACCCACTTAGGTGGGTGCTTCGTAGTTGATCTCTTGTTGTTGCTACTAACTTTCAAATTCCCATGATCATGTGGACAGTGGAGAGACTGATGGTTCAAGTGATGGTAGTGACGGGAATACAACTGGGGTGAGCACCCTTTTTCTTCTTTCTTCTTGTTTGTTTCCAGCATCTTTAGTTTTAGACTGTTTGACATGGATGATATATTAACAGTGAAGACAAAATTGATAAAATTTAATTTTCACAAACATGCATCTTCTGTCAGATGACAGATCAAACCAGAAGGAAAAGAAGCAAGGAGGGAACACCAACAATTGGTATGTCTCCATTCTTCACCTAGTAGATGTTGATGAACAAGAGGGTTGACCTCACATTATATTGTTTCAGCAAATCAGCGCACAGTAATAGTTTTCCTTACAAAACATGCATTTTGTAGACCATTGTGAATGTCAATGGCATGGGAATACCAGTCTATTGTATTGTTTTAATATAGAAATCTGTCCACAAATGAATAGACTAGTTTTCAAATCTCAGACATGTTGCAGTTCTTATCACATACATTAGATAACAGAACATTGATGATTTCTGAACTGCAATTAGCCTAATGCAATATTGTTTATAAGCTTATATTTGCTTGTTCTCTGTTCCTAGCAGGCAATGGAAAAAAGGAGACCAAGTCTGAACCAGTTCCTGCTGGTGAGGCAAGTGCACCTTCAGACAAGGTGTTGAATGTGGCTACTTCTTCTGGTAAATCAATTGCAACTGGATTATCTCCTGGAATGACCACAGAATTGGAGCTTAGGAACCCTCCTTCAATGAATGCAAAGTCCAGTCCTACTAGCATTCCCCAGCCTTGTTCTGTGTTGCCTCCTGAAGTTTGGTTGCAGGTATAGTTTGGAAATATTTTAGAATTAGAATAGTGAACTGTTTTATGTCAAACAGGGCAGGAAGAAAATCACTGATTTTAATCTTATTTACTTAGAATGAACGGGAAATAAAACGGGAGAGGAGGAAACAGTCTAACCGTGAATCTGCTAGAAGGTCAAGGTTGAGGAAGCAGGTATAAGAATTATGTCAAGTTGTGTTTTTCCTATGCTTAAAACCCCGTCTTGTTTGTTTGAACCTTTCTGTTGATTAAGAAACAATTGTCTGAAGTTAATGCTTTCTATTCTTTCCATGTAGGCTGAGAACGAAGAACTTGCACATAAGGTTGAATCCTTGTCTACCGAGAACATGGCACTCAAATCTGAAGTAAATCAACTGACAGAGAAATCAGAGAAACTTAGACTAGAAAATTCTATGTTAGCGGTAACTACTGGTCCCTTCTTATTCGGTTTATTTTCTTTCACAATGTATGTTCATATTTCTTGTAGGAGTTCAAAGATACGTTTTCTTCAATGTCCATACTTTCTACCAATGACTTACAGAGCTGTTTGAAATACAGGAGAAACTGAAAAGTTCTCAATTTGGATACACTGAAGACATTATTTTGAAAAATGTCAATGAGAAGAGAGCTGCACCTGTAAGCACAGAGAATCTGCTCTCCAGAGTTAGCAATTCAGGCTCTGTTGATGGAAACCTAATTGAAGAGGGTGACATGCACGATGAAAAATCCAACTCTGGCACCAAGCTGCATCAACTCTTGGATGCAAGTCCCAGAGCTGATGCTGTTGCCGCTGGCTGATTTTAGAAGCCAGTTTACTTGAAGCTACTTCTTCAACTAAATATCAAGGTAATGATGTAGCTTTATCATAATTGCGAGCCACAACTAGTGCTAGTGCTAAGCATTGGCAGAGGAATCGGTAGTTGGTTAGTTAGTTAGGAATCAAATCTCTGTTGGACTCTACCATTGTACTTGTTAGTTAGCTTTCAGCCTTTCAAAAAAAAAAAAAAAGGGTTAGCTTTGTCTTGGCAGAACTGATGTATTTAATTAATTAATTATTTAAAAACAGAATGGTAAGATTGGATCTTGCAAGGTTGTACATCAAGAAGACTTTTAGGGATTCAGTTTAGGAAAAGGCCTTGGAACCTTGATTTTGTAATCTGGTGTTCGTGCAATTTTATTAACTAAGGGATTTGGTGGACTACTGTGTTAGGATACATGCTTCCCAATCCCAACATTTTGTGTCTTTTGCTATCAACCTATATTTTTGTCCCGTTTGAATGTGTTGCTCGAGAAAGAACACAACTAAATTATTAATTTCGATGAATAGCCTCTTCCAGTCTAGTGGTATTGGACTCTAAGTTAGGGTTGTTTACCTTCATAAGTGGAGTGACGTATGCAAACCCCATGAAACTTATTTCCCCTCTTTCCCAAATATATCTATAAATAATGTCAAAATTGTTCCAAAAAAAATTATTAATTTAGATACTCGGTGGTGGAGGATTGAACCAACTTGTGGGGTCAATTGAAACTAGCATTAAAAAAATTTATTATTATTTTTTAAATGTATTAAGTTTGCAGAGAGTGTGTTTTAAATTTTTTTTATTTTAGTTGTATAACAAAAAATAATTATTTTTTATTTTTTATCTTATCTCACTCACATGTCGTATTACTTGAATTTAAGATCATTGAACTAGTTAAGTTATTGATAAAAAATTATTTTAAAAATTATTTTTTTTAAATAATTTTAAAATACATAAAAATTACCCTAACATATGCTTACCCGTTGATATAAAAATACTTGTAGGATTCAATTTGTACTTAACCATCGGACTAATGTCTTATTGACACACGTTTTCATTCTATTCATAGGCATATAACTTTTTCTTGAACTGAACAGAAAATTCATAGGCACATAAATTGAAAGATGAATTTTAATGGGCAGTCAATGGAATCTCCAGGATATATGTGAGCAGAGAAATATGACTCAAGGAAATGACTTTATTAATTGTTCTTCCCTTATACGTTATTACAATTGTTGAAAACGATTCAACGAATGTTTTAATAATAGTTAAATGCCTGCCCTAAAATTCAGTTATTCCCTAGTTAGACATTTTTATTGTCAGGCATTTAGTACAACTTTTAAATTAAATTACAAATAATTTAAGTAATTTAGTAATAAATTATTCTTTAATAAAGTTTATAGGAATTTAATTTTTTATAAATTTTTTAATTCCAACATATAAAATTTATTTTTGATTTCATTAAATTAGCAAGAGATTAATTTTAAAGTGCATACAAACTAACT